ATCCACTCACGAATGATCGCGGCATTGACAGCATTGACATCATCAAACTGGATGGCTTCGGGCCATCGTCGACTCATCACGCGCTTGGCTGGCGGGTGAATCTCCACCGATACGTACAAAGCTGGTTTTGCACCTGCAACATTGTAGCTCCTCATGGCTCCTCCAATGCCATCGAACAACGAGATCACTAAAATAGGGATCTGACGACCTTGAGCAGCAGGGGTACTATCGACAAAGAGGAAATCTCTTCCTAGCTCTGTGACTTGTTCCGTCACTACCACTGCTCCCGCCAAGCCTGAAGCATCGCTGGCCGTGACCTTCCCTGACGGGGGTGTCGTGATGTCAGTGCGCAGCAGGAGTCCGCCAAAGGCCATTGCCAGAAGCTCCCACCTTGCCTTCCATTCTTTCTTCTTTTGCATCGCCTGGAGGAACTCCCAAATGCCTGCAAAGTGACTCATGGCGGGCCGCCTAAATTGAAGAACATGCATCCATCTGCCCGCTGCAATCTGCAAAGTCTTCCTCCTCAGGTTGCTACGGGTGGAAAGCCACAAGCTGAGTTTTATCGTCTTCTCCAATCTCTCAGGGCTGGCTCCAATCCATCCTCGTTCCCCCTGAACATAGGCTCCCAGCTCTGTTGCCACCGGCTTGCGGCGAACACTCTTCTGAGGGGCTGTTAAGATCCCTCGATCATTCCAGCCCTCCTCTGCCTTTCTATGGAGCTCTCCACCTGTCGTCTCCAACAGCTCGCCCTGCACTCGCTGCCCTGAAGCATAGTTTTCCAGGTAGATGTGCCAGAAAGGAGAGGACTGGACCTGATCTTTTCTCAACTTCTCCACGAAGCCGCGAGGCAGCAACTGAACCCTATTGATGGCCTGTTCACCATCCAGACCAATGTCCTTTAGCTTCTTCCATGATTCCTACTGCAGAGCTCCATCCCATAGGCAGAACACATGCGCAGAGGGTGTACTTTGTCTTGCTATCATATCCTGCTCCTAGTTCACTGCCTAAGCAATCAATATTGAAAGCCAGCCTACGATGCCATGCGCTCGGGAGTTGAAAGAGATAAAACGCTGATGTGATGTCTGCTTGGCTGACCTCCACTTTCTCACCCGGCCCGATAGAGGTCCACTGAGTGATAGTCGGCAGCCGGTGAACAGATCCCGGAATAATGGAGTGGATGCTGTTGCTAGGGATTAGGTTCATGATCACACGTAAGGTCTCACGACCTTCCACTGCCTTACCAGGTTTGACCACCCCAAACGTGCCATACTTCACGTAGGAGCCTCTAAACCGATGGATCTCTTTCTCGGGGTACCACTTGCAAATACTCTCTCAACCAACAACTTTGCCACCTCACTCTGCTCTCCTTCTTGAATATGAACACGACCAACAAGACGGGGGACAACCTGACCACAATCCTCAACCTCGCAAAGGGTCGGGTTCTCCAGCAACCTTCTAGCGCTAGGACTCACCCAGTCAACCAGTCGAACCGATCCTCCCCGCAAGGAGGGGAGGATTTGTGCTTTACTCAACTTCTCAACCTTTCCTACCTCCTCACCAGCATAGCCTATATCTCTTTTAGCTAGGTCCTCCTTTATCTGCTCAGGCCCCCAAAGAAGTCCAGGCGCCCATTCATCAATCATCTCTCTCACTCTCTTGGTCACGCTCTGCAGAGTTGCCCAGTGGATCTTTCGGGCTTTCCCACCGTTGAACCCCGTTACACCGCCATGCAATTGTTGGCAGAATTTCACTGAACTCAGGACCCAACCATCAATGTAATCATCTAAGGTCCAAAAAACTGTAAAAAACTGTCCATGAAAATGTCCTCAATCAGGGCCCCTCTAAGCTTGGTTTCAAGACGTTTCCACATGTGGGGAAAAGGAAAAAGGCTCCGGTTGCCTAGCAGCTGCCCGCTCCACAAACACTCCTTCATGGCCGCAACTTTTCCCCACAACCACGAGCGGCCAAGTTGGCTCCGTCCTCCTTCGAAGATCATCCAGCTCAGCGCAAGCCCGAGGTTCCTCAAGTCACAGCGCCTGCGCAGCAGCTCTGCTACCTTCTCACCTCTGGTGCCTCCATCTAGCAGCCTCTCCTCCACTCTCAGCGGCCTGACCTCGTCCTCAGGCCTCTCAACCTCTCTCACCTTCTTCCTGGCCTCTCTCTCAGCCTCGCCTGGCTCCTCTCTCCTCTTCTCCTCCACTGCAACCTCTCCTGCTACCTCTGCTGCACTGTCCTCTCTCTCACGCACGTCCGGGTGCTCCCCTCGTGCTGTCATCTCACCTGCTGCCTCTGTTGCACTGTCCTTTCTCTCATGCACATCCGATTGCTCCTCTCGAGCCCCGGCTGCATTCAACAAGGGTAACTTTGCCACAGCCTCTGTCATCCAACCTCCAACCTCTGCCTCTGTACTGCCTTTCACCGGCAGAGTGTTGACGTGGGTCTGGTGTGGCATAGTGGAGTTCATTGCCTCCCTCATCTGAATTCCGGTCACGCACTCCTCCTTACTCACTCCTCTGCCTTGTCGCCGTCGGCCTCGCCCTTGCCTTTGCTCTTGCCTCTGCCGGCCTCCTTGCCGCTCTTCCACTTGCCTCCTTTGCCTCTGCCTTCTTTGCCGTCCTTTCCTCCCTTCTGTCGCCACCAGCCCTTTCCTTCGTCCTTCGCTCCTCCTCCTGAGCTCCAGCCTCGGCCGCCTGCGGCATACCTCCACTTTCCTTTTCCTTCGAAGCCTTGAGCCCTGGGGATCATATTGTTGTGTCTCCTCGCCGCCAACTGAAGCTCGGCCGGGGCTATGGCCTGTTCGGCCGGCGCAGCCACCTCCAAATGCCTCGCGACATTCCAACCATCGTGGGTCGCCGCTTCCACCGCAATGAATCGGCCGGCCAATGCATCTAATGCTTCGAGGAGTTGACCACTTCGCACCCTGTCGATCACCGTGGCCAACAGGAAGAGTTCTCGAAGGGCTGGATGACCTGCATTGTATCGGTGCTTGAGGCTTATCTGCCAATAGGTGCCCACCTTTGGCCCGCTGGTCAACAAGTCCTCCTGCGGGGTTGAGATGTCCTGCAACTGCTCGGCAATCTGTTCGAGGAGGAGGTTGATCACACTTCCCTTTTTCTTCTGGCTGCGTCTCTTCAAAGGGGCCTGCAACCGCCTGGCCTTCTTGTCCTCGCTGCTTTCTTCCTCTGTCGAATAACTGCTGTACTCGTCCTCCTCTTCGTCCTCGTCCGAGGAATCGCCCGGGCTGCCATCGTCGTCGGAGGGATCGCCATCGCTCTTCTCCTTCTTCTTTTTCTTCTTCTCCTTCTTCCCTCGCTTGGGCCGTAGAGCCGCCCGCAGAGCATGCAGCACACGATCTCCTCCTCTCTTCCTCTTCTTCTTCTTCTTCTTGTCTCCACCTGCTCCTGCCGCGCCTGCTGCTGCTCGGCTCGCCGCTGCAACCAACGCCTGGCTGGGTGATCGATTCGTCTTGGAACTCGAGGTACCTTCTTTTGGCTCCTCCAATCCACTCTTCAATAACTCCTGAACCTCGGCGGCTGGCTTGTCCACTCCACAGGTCAAGTTCTTCGGCCCATCCTTCTTGGTTGAACCCGCTGCAAGTGATGAAACGGCGGGCTTCTTTGAGTCGTTCAACCCAGCCGCAGCGGACTCTTCCCCACCAGGCGAGCGCATGCTGCAGTCCTTGAGCTTTTGGCGAAGGTCGCTCAAGGCCTCGGCCACTCTTCCTCGACCTTTCTTGGCATCCTCTGTATCTGCAGCCTCTGAACTCCTTCTCACCTTCCTCTTCTTCTCGCGGCCTCCACTGTCGTCCTCCTCGCCTGGCTCCGCATCGACGAAGATGGCATGTCGAGAAGGGTCTGCATCCTCTCTTGGGCCGCCGCGTCGAAGTGCACTTCGACGAACCTCCGGAACCTCGTCCTCCCAAGGCTGTGGACCTGGCCTCACCTACCGTCACCCCCAAAATCTCCTGACACAAACTGGCCCACCTTTTGTGGCCTGAAGAACCCAGAACACTGGTTTCGAGGTCCGGGCCATGAATAACCTCCAGGTGCTTGATGTGGCAGATGTAGTTGCCTCCGGCTGTGCAGGGGACCTCCTGGCAGATATGGGCTGAGGTGAGGAGTCGATTCATGCTTGTCAACGTTCTCGACTCTTTGCTGTTCTGGGTGCCAAGCGAAACGACTTCGACCGACAGGCTGCCATCGGGGAGCACGGCATGTGATTTCACAAAGAAGGGGCAATCCACAACCTTCTTGCCTAATGTCACAGGGGCGATGATGACGCGACCAGCAAACACGCCCATTAAGAGCCATCGGTCTTTGTCTTCAATGTCAAAGGTTCCAACTGACTCGTCTCGTCCTCTAGCCTCTCCTCCGGCGTTTGCCATCTCTCGTCCTCTCCTCACGCTCTCGTCGCCTTTCTCGATGCGGCCTCTCTGCAGCCTCTGCGCCTCTCTCCTCCTCAGGCGGGACTTCTCGCCTCTCACCTCTGCGCTCCTCTCCGCTGGCTCGGGATCTAGTGCAGCTCGATTGATCTCCTGGCATGGGAGCCGCGTCCCCCCAATCCCACCTTGAGTACAAAATGTAAAAGACACGTCAAAAACTTCACCCGATCGGCTTCGAGAAAGTCGTTCCCCGAACAACCAAGGAAAAATAGGAAAAATAGGGGCCAGGTCCACCGGGGCTAGGCCTAGGTCCACTGGGGCTAGCGCTAGACCTAGGTCCACCGGGGCTAGGCCTAGGTACCCTGGGGCTAGGTCCGCCAGACCTGGGTCCACTAGGGCTAGGTCCATTTTATGTTCCTGTCCTAGAGTGCTGCCATTCTTTTCCTTTTTTTCCTTTCCTATTTCTAAATCCAGCTCTTTTCTTTTCCTATTTTTGAGACTCAACCTCTTTGTGTCTTTTTTTTTCTCCTATTTTCAGTTCCTATTTTTTTCCTATTATTTTCCTAAAATAACTATTTTAAGGTTTTTCAGACATAGCAGGCAGCTTTATGTCATAAGTCTAGCGAATGTAGCATGCACCTCGCACAAAAGCTTTGAGCGTGTGGAGCTCAAGGGGTGCCCATCCACATCCTCACAAAAATATCAAAATAGGATCCGTGCAATTTCGCACATTGCTCTCTGAAAGGAGCTGAACAAAGGGGCCTCTTCATTTTTGTCTGCACGTATGTGTGAACACCCTGAATTCAAGGGTCTTTCTTGTTCTGTTTTGCTACATTTGACGTTTAGACGTTCTTCCTCTTTGCTGAAGATTCGCAGGGGGCATACAGCAACAAATTGCAAACTGTGTCTCACAAGAGTTGGCCACTCCAGTGTGCTTGGATCCGTTAAGAAGTTTGCGATGTACAGTAAATTACTGTAATGTGTGATTATGTTTGTATTTGTTTGGTAAACATGCTCTCCTCAGAGTCTCCTCTTCAGGCTGTTTAGGTGAAACGATCGTCTTGGCAGTTGCGCATGTGCTCGTGGAACTCATGTTGCATTGGACCCTCATGTTCTTTTAGATCGAGGCTGCACACTGTGATATGCCACAGCCGCAGCCTATTGTATGCACAATAGGTTTGGGCGGCCCGGCCGGCAGATCGAACGTACAACACTAATTCATCCTGTGAACACCCTGCATTCAAGAGCTGCATTTTGCAATGACTTTGTTGTATTGAACCGGATGAAGCCAACGAAGACGCTCATGCGGTGCTGTAAATCACCTGCTTTTGGCTGCACACATGTATCTAAGTGCAGCTGGTAGGTCGCAAGCTGCTCGTACCCGCTTCTTAACTGGCACAATCTTGTTAGCCTTTAGCCTCGGTTCATTATGTTCATCCCTCTGCAGTGCAATTGACGCTTCTTGACAAATGGATGCACTGTGAGACTCTCATACAAATGCTTCAAGATGTTCGGAATGTTGATGAATTGACGAATATTGACTCTTGACGATAAGGCCACCGTTAGGCCATGGTGAGCTGATACACAGCGCATGCGTTAGCACTGAAGCTTTTCTGTCTACCTAGGCTTCGTTGGCCGCGATGGACGTGCCACAAAGCCGCGTGTGTCTAAGAATGTTGATGGTATTGCTATGAGACGACACCACTATGGTTGAATGAAATTAATGAAATGGATGTTAATAGTGCAGCTAATTTCTGAAGTCTGGGATTCCCTCTAACTTGATGAATCCCGGATGTTTTCTTTTCTCAACTCAATCGTTTCGGCCTTGACCTTAAAGCCCCAAGGCATCCAAGAAATGGGCGAGAGTCACTCAGCCAGGTGCTTTTGTTGTTCTGATTCTCCACTTTCACCAGCCTGACACTCTGGCATTGCGATCTGCTCCGTGGTCCAGCAAAAGAGAGCAAACCTGGACTACAGTCGGCACCAAAGACCACCCTCAGCAAGTCAAAACACAACCCCACGTAGGCAGTGAAAGGTATACGGTATTCCATTCGATTGGGTTCCAATCTGCTGCCAGTACCTCTCTGTTGAATCACGGGTGTTGCCACAGTTTGCATCGTGCAACAAGGCTTTATTGCGGTGGCTTTGGATAGGGCAATTTAAAGAACGACACTTGTTGACCACGCATGGAACCAGTCGTCTGCAATGTATAGAAGTTAGCTTTCCAGCTGTGTTAGCTTTCCACCTTCCTTGTAATACAGTATTTGTAGTAGGTAGGTGGCATCTGGACGTCAAGACAAGGCCTCTGCATAGCCAAATCGGGCAGCGACGATGAGCGCTGTTCGACCTCTGCAGCGATGACATCTGTTTGATCAGCACATGCCACATGGAGCCAGCATTCTACAACCCCGCTACATGTGGGTGGAACTTTAATGTCGGGCCCCGTCTTGTTCAATTCTCGCACTGTATGCATCTCAATACGCTTCCTTTTTCTTGCTTAAACCTTCGTCTAGTCCACGGCAGTTGCAGGACATTCCTTACAGAATGCTGCGGAAGCTGCCGCCTGATTACCGTCTGAAACACACCTCCTTCGGAGGACAATGTGACATACTCATTATCAGCCGGAGCAATTGCAAATCAGATATGTCACATAGTATCTCCTTTGCAGCTGAAGCCGGCTCGGAACACACTCTTCCAAATATAGAAGTCAGGACTGACCGTCTGTGCTGATTTTTGCATCAATTTCAATAGAATACTAATCCTATACGGCACATATATATATATATATAATATACATACACATGCACACACACACACATTTTCCATCGGCCTGTCAGAGACAGAAGGCCGAACACCCTCGCTGTGTTCGTTCCATCTGCTCTACACAACAGTATGTTGACAAAACCTCTGGCAAATTCATAACAAGCCAAAGTCTCTGGAAGACATTCAACTGCCTGGTGTCACTGTGGCAATCTTCGCCGGCTGTTCAGATCCAGTTGAGGTGAGGGAGTGTCGATTTCCGGACACTGGGCGTGCCTTTTGTCCTGCCAAAATGCCGCCAACAGTGCAGTCTTACAAAAACCTTGCGTGTCCCCCAAGCACAAGACAGTGATACAGTAACTAGTAACTGGAGAGAGACTTGATGAGACTTGTTTGCCTATCAATTCTAGGCCTTGTATGCTTGCACGGCTGGCGCTCAAGGTCGTTCTCAAACCACAAGCCGGACATGGTGAGATGCAACCTGCAAATACCTGAAGCCCTCTTGCCAAATTCCAACAACTATATAATTCCTACGGTAATCTACAGTCTGCTTGGAGGCTAGAGTGCCCAAAGCCAGTTGCAATCAACCCCCCTCCCCAAACACAGGAAGCACAGGAACAGTCCTGTCAAGAAACCACAAATCTCTCTGAGTATGTGGTCTGTTTCTGAGAACTCTTCGGCGATGAACTTCCGCAGGTCTACGATGTCCTGCACCAAATCACACACCCTACAGTGCTGCCAATTCTGCACCGAGATTACGACGGCAAAACATCTTTGATCTTAACCCCTGTAGACACTGATCTTTAAGAGTCAAGAGAGTAGGAACATATCTTTGTCATCCCATGCCTTGACTGTGGTCTGATTGGAACCACGTAGTGTCAGGATACCTTTCATGAAGTCACCGAAGGTAAGGGGCTCCCCATCTTCAAAAAGCAGCTTGCCTCAGCTGTTGAGGGACTCATAGCTGTATACACACTGATGACACACGTTCTCCCTGTTGGTAACATCAACAAGCTGCTCTCACGGTTCTACGGAGCCTGTGTCAATACCTTCACTGTCGAATTAGCATGGGAAGACCAGTCAAAACGCAGGCTGGCTGCAGCAGCAATTCGGAAACATCATAACTATAACTTGGAAAAAGGCAACTGCTGTCGCAAGTTGCCAACTACAACCGGGTACGGGCGCACAATTGAGAAATACCACTACTGTAATGTCTGTTTTCATGGGAATTGCAATTCCTGAGGCGAAGGCCGTAGTCCAAGGCAGCCTCCACATCAACTCCCAAGCTAGTCAAAGCTGTAACAGCCTGCGGCACACGCATCCATAGGCAAAAACCTTCGAATATCCCGCGCTTATTTAGGGCTGATGGATAAAGGACCTGAAGGCCCAGGCCTTGGAATGTGTTTCCTCACCCTTATCATGGGTTCATGCAACAACTCAGCCAAGCTAACAGCTAGAAGCCTTGCCATGCCTACATTCCCACTCGGGAAGCAAAACAACACTTGATTGCCGCCTGCGGCTTTGACAACACATTCACAAACTCCTGTTCTGATATTCGGTTGTCGCCATCCTCATCGGCATCTCCTGGCGGCAGCAAACAAAGTGTCAACCAATGAGTCATGGGCACGGTGGTTTGGACCACGAACTTTTACAAACCAAGATTAAGCCGGTGGAGTAGTCCCAAACGGAATATCGCACACGGTGCCGTGTCAGAAGCAAACCACAAAAAAACAAACAAACAGCTAGTGTAGAGTCAAAGGGAAGCGCCGGCTCCTTTACTGATGAGTTCCCACAAGGCTTTCTTTGCGAAGTCCACCTCCAACTGCTCCCTTTCGATGGTGGAGACTGTGTTGATGGCTTCAACGAGAACGCCCAGCAACATATTCATCACCGTCAGAGAGCCAAAAAGGATGAAAAGCAAGACCAACAAACCCATGACAAAGCTCTCTCTGCTCGCTGTCTCAAAGAAATCAGCCTGAACAATTGGCTTGGCACTGTCGGGCATTAACATTGTCTAAGCAAGCGCGCCCCATGATCTCACCATATCTCATCTCTTGACAGTGTGGCATATGGAAGATACATGAATACTTGAGGCCAGGGGGAGAGGTCGAAAGCTAGCC